AGAGAGAGAGAGAGAGAGAGAGAGAGAGAGAGAGAGAGAGAGAGAGAGAGAGAGACTATTTGCGTGTTTTACTACACATGTTCTCCGGGAAATTCTACCCCTATTTCATATACTTGTGGTAAAAATTCGGTTTTTGTAATATAACTATTTTTACTTCTTAATATTGTATAATAAAGTAATAATAATATAAAAACCACAAAATTAACTACAATATGTTTGTTTCGCAACTTTATGATTGAAGTGGTAAATTTATAGTACAAGTAGATGTATAGTTGCGTGTGATTATAAGTTTTATGATAACTATTTCATGCAGTGTTATAGCTATCAAAAAGATATCATTACAAGATTTTTGAACATTTTAACCCGTAGAGGCCACTAAAAATAACGTAGTGGTCACACTAGGTCCAATGGACCCCACAACAGTTGCCATTTGCGTTCTTTTTGATGTATCGACTCAAACCTTGAACTGGAATTTAGTTTAAGACTTCCTTTTTATAATCCAATAATTTTTTTCTCCTTTTTTTAATTTTTTTATGTTGAAAAAACGCAAGAAAAAAAATTTTTTCGAAAAATTTGATTTTTTTCACAAAAATATTCATCAAAATTTTTTAAGATAAAACAAAAAACTTCCTGCGTTTTACTCTCAAAATAGTATACTTTCAAGAAAAAAATAGCCTGGGGTTCACTGGACCCAGTGTGGCCTCTACGGGTTAAAGAATGTACCTGTTATAGACAAGTACAGTTGATAAGGAAGCATCAGGGTCAGAAGATCGTCACTGTTCACTGGATCATCGAAGTCAAGCAAACACGGGCGCGCGCGGTATACTGTACTAGGATGAGTGACCGCCTTGAGAGAAAGCGGCTATACGCACATAATATGTAAAGAAACAATTAAAAAAGCGTTTTTTTCCTAGATAAAGAAAAAGAACGTTTTTTTATAAACGTTTATCAAGTGGACATTTTAACATTTTAATTTTATAAAAATAACATTTTTAGAAACCGGTATGTCGTACATTGGACCTATTTTTACCGTCAATAAGACGTCAGAAAATGACGTCGTGTGGATGTGACATATCGACATCATTTTCGGGTCTCACGAGACCTATTTAGAACGTCTGATTGATTATTTTGTGACCAAAATTTAACGTCATTATGACGTTATTTTGCTACTTGGGAAGACGCATTTGCAGTAAGAAAGGCAAGCTTCTACGATAAATTTAAATTGGCAAAAAGCCTATAGTGTCAAGTTTGCCCCGGTGTCGAGTTTGCCCCAGTCTCCTCTACTGATCGATAGATAAATACACGTTTTTGCCAAAGCTGCGAATACTCGAAGGCGAATCTCTATCTGATGGAATGTAAACAACGGCGTAGTGCTCTTGTATCGTTAATGTTATCTTTATAGAACGCAAAAAAATATCGCGTTTTTTTATCGATTACGATCGATTCGTACTCATAAAATCTCAATAGTGAAATCTCAATAAGTAAGAGAAAAATTAGAACGTGCAGTTGCAGATTTTGTTAAGTATTGAATTTCCTTTCTTTATCTTTTATCGAGTATGCATTCTATCAGTAAAGCACATTTATTTCAAATCAATCAAATCAGTCATTATATAATTCATATTGCACGCATCTTGGCAGCAGTTAAAATTTGTTTCCATTTACAAAACATATTGATATATATATTATTAATATAATCTAAATATTAAATTAATATATCCGCGTTTGTAACAGGCAGTGATTCACTTCAAACCGCACATTTCTCATCTCTCTTAAATTATGTATTTATAAGAAGAATATATATATATTCACAATAGAATAGATTGTATGTAGTAAACAATCTTTCTCTGAACAGAGAAAAATTTTTTCTTCTTTTTAAGAAATATCTCTTTATTTTATATTTCTTTTCATTTGTTGTAACCATTAAAATATATGAATTTGCAATTTGAAGCAAATCGATTCCATTCAATTACGTCGCAATAATAGGGCGATAATAGTCCAATCATTAATAATGTTATAAATTCCATTCGCGCTAGATTAATGGTAGAAAAACAGACTGAAAAGGATATTGAGCAGGTGTAGTATAATTAAAAGTAAGATTACATTTTGCTGTACAGTGATTTCCGATACTGAAGAAGTATTGCCTGATTATTAATACGACAGCAAAACGTGCCATCGTTTAAGCACACGTTTCAGCGTAAAAAGTGGTGGGAGAATTTCGGTGATAATATAAAGCTACGTGGTTGCGATCGATGTGTCGTAGTCGGTTCTGCAATTTGCTTCAGTGTCAGCTTCGTTAGAAGTTCACCATAATGGCGTCGTCTCTGCGGAGGAAGAGGGTCTCCATAGTATCTCTCTCGAAAAGGATGAAGGTTCCATCGGTTAAACCGAAAGGTGATCCAGAGTAAATAATAATATAAATAATCAACAAATTAATAGACGGCGATACAAGTCAAGCGCGGTACGTGATGCGCACGTAAAGAATTAATAATTACAGAAGTAACGAATTAAAATGTATATAATCCGACAAATAATCGGCGCGCAGTCTATTAAGTTGAAATATATGTATATGATATTATATACATTTTAATTCGTTACTTCTGTATATAACTATTAATTCTTTACTTGCGAATCACGTACCGCGCTTGACTCGTATCGCCGTCTATTAATTTGTTGACATTTTCACGAGCTTAATGATATATTTGATATAAATAATATACACATTTTAAATAGCTCGTACAAATTAGTATAATTCTTGTACAAAGAAACAATTCACCATAAAGAGAGGAAGATTTTCAAAAAATATTTTGTGAATAAATTTATTTAAAAAAAGATCTCAGTGGAACTCGGAATTATTAAAGACTATCGATACTAATTTAATTCATTTACTAGAAGATTTTCTAAAGATCGTTTCATATACGATAAAAGAATAAGGATTGCTATTTCTGAGATATGCCCCACAATTATTAATTTTAATGATAAATTCCCTAATAAATTTTGTATCAATATCTTTTAGCAAAAATATCAAGATCGCAAGTAATGCGACAGTTTATATAGTGAATTATGCTATATTATGGAGTTTAGTAAAATATATCCTATATAAATTAATTTTGAACTCTTACACAATTTTTGATTGGTCTTTTTAGTCAGAATTTTTCTACGTACAATGTTTCAAAACCTTATAACACATGCAAGCTAGTGCGAATAATGTATAAAGCTAAAGATATTTCTTCTTTCTCGTTGTGCCTATCATACTGGACAATATTTATATCGCGATATTATCCTCAATATGTAGCAGACAAGAACATAATATCTTCGATTACACGTTTTTGATAACGATAACGCTAGGTGGAATCATTGTGAGAAAGAGACAGTTTGATTCGATTGGTTAAATTACAGATGAGAAATCAGATTGTTGAGATTATAGGACAATTGATCACGAATTAAAACGTGATATAAACCTGGAATCAAGAGTGGTGCACGTGTCATATCGATCTATTGTTCATTATATGTAAAGAAGTATGAACGTTTGTTACATATTTACTATTCGCTCCGTGATAATTAAAGCATGTGCATTTTATGTCGTTATATTGTCGCTTCAGATTTCTGTCTTTGTAATAATCAAAAATATATTTTATATATTTCACAAATCGGTGTAAAAGACACACATAAATAAAAAATGATAAGACAGTAAGTCAAAATAAAAATTAATACTCTCTTTCTCAATCGATTCGTCAATTACTTTCTGATCCACCCCTGGCTCGAGACGATTTGCGGAAAATATTTTGCAAGTGAAAACAGTATTATGTAATTATCGATTAGAATTAATCCGCATTCTACGCATTCCTCGATCGAACGGTTTACTTCTTAGGAATGAAGAAAAAATCAGGCACGTTTACTAAGATTTTTATCGATCGCACTCGCATACCGGCGATTTCTCTGATGCAATGAATAATTGTTGTTGGATTTCGAGCGCAAACACCGAGCGATCGGTCTTACTGACGCAACGCGGTCTTGATGACAATGACACAATTTGTATTCGATTCCGCGTTTATACGTGACGCTCATGTAAACTTCATCGAGGGCATCGTAATGAACGTACTACTAACAGAGTAAAGAACTGCATAGATTGAAATTGGAGATCGAAAAAATATGTAACTTTTATATCTTCGATAGAGAACTTAGCGATTAAGGCACTTGTTTCCTTTTAATGCAGCCACATTGCATCCAATTGAATTTAAACGAGCAATATTATATATAATTTTCTTCTCTTATATATATACTGAAATAAATTATTCAGTAAACACCAACTAACAGTAACATTGTATAAATATTATAATTTTCTGCTCAACAATATAACTGTTATATTACACTCAGTGTTTGTCAGTATCTGGATAAAATTATCTAGATGATTATCCAGATGAAGAAATGGAATAATTTTTATCTTATCTTGATGAAAAAAATACAAACTACATTTATCTTCATCTTATTGTTAAATAAAAAATTATGTCATCTTATCTATAAATTATCTAATTATAAGATGAAATTTTCATTCTTTCTACTATTTCTTTACCGCCGTTTAAATTAAATTGGATTCCAGCACGTTATATGCATAAAGTTGTGTAAAAACCTATTTTTGAAAAAAAAAAGATTATTTCTGTAAAATATTCTGTAAAAATAGATGATTTTGAAATCATCTAAGGCAAACACTGATTACACACTTATATTGTTGATCAAAAAATATAATATTGAGTGGAAATTATAAATACTGCTGTAACATATCACTGTTAATTAGCTTTTGATATATATATCCTGAGAAATATAATATAATCTCGTTTTACAGCATGGTTCGGATGTAGACACAGTCAGGTAATGCTCATGTGCCTGGGCTTCTTCTGCTGCTACGCCATCCGCGTGACGACGTCGGTAACCTTAGAGGCGATGACCAACGCTGCCAGTGCCAATCCCAATTTCGAGGTACGCTTCAATAACGCCGATTCTCTTCCCTACCCTTGTGATCTAAAAGGGACACGCTTCTCTTCTCTCCTTCGAAGGAGTTCCGTTGGGACGAATCGGTGAAGCACATAATCCTCAGCTCCTTCTTCTGGGGCTACACCTGCACGCAAATACCCGCCAGCATCCTCACCCAGCGATGGAGCGCCCAGAAATTGTTTGCGGCGACTCTGATCATCTCAGGATTGCTGACCTTCACCACCCCCTGGGCCGCTCATTACGGCGGCTGGCAGACGGTGATCGCCGGGAGGGCGATATGCGGCCTCATCCAAGGTGCTGTACTACCGTGTCTGCACACCCTGCTGTCCAGATGGTCGCCGCCAGAAGAACGTGGTAGACTTTGTGAGTGTACATTTAGTTTACTTTTAGTTGAACATATGGAGTAAATACTTTCACTGCTGCAATTAAGTGAAAAAGTATATTCTAAACGTGTTAAGAGAACATAGTTTTCGCATTTGACTGCTTATAAGTGATTGATGATTCCCATACTCATTTAAGTAAAAATTCCAAAATAATTCCAGCATCTCTGCATATTCGGAGTTGCTCAAATGCTGACATTATGAAGTCAGTGATTTTGTTTGTTTTATTTCACTGTGTTGAGAAACGTTGCAACTTTTAATTTTTCGTTTTTCCAATTTCAATATTTCCAATTTCAATCTGGTTTATGTTCTTTCTTTTGAATCAGGTTGAAATGCAAATTGGCTACACATACACTGTTGCTTGATGATGCATCGCAGAAATGTAATTTAATTAGCAGGTCACGTTTGACACATATCGCAGACAAATTCTTATCGCCGTCCGACGATGCTGAATTGATTAAGCACGTCAAAATTGTTAAGCGAAAAGCTTGGCGAAAAGCTTTTTACGATTTAAAATCCCACAATAAAGAAATTCCTATAATTTCCTGTTATCCAAGCTTCTCGATGAATCTCCTCTGATTTCTTTTTCATCGCTAAAGCAGTCTTTGAAATTTTCTGCCTTTCGAACAAAATTAAACTATAATAAATATAATTAAAAATTATTTAAAATTGAAAAAAGAGATAATATATATATTTTTAACAATTAAACTAATGTTAATCGTGTCAAATTTTGGCACAGAAAAATCGTGGTTGCGACACACGTACAATTCGCATTTTTCTCCAGCAACGTTCGTTTATTCCGGCGGCTGGATCGGCAACGTGGTATGTTTGCTGAGTACCGGCTTCCTCGCGGCGTCGTCCATCGGCTGGCCTAGCTGCTTTTATGTCTGGGGAAGCCTCGGCGTCCTCTGCGGAATCTGTTTCTACCTGTTCGGGCAGGATTCACCCTCCGAACATCCTCGCATACCACTCGACGAGAAGGAATACATCGAGACGAGTCTGGGATTAACTGAGGTTACCGAGGTAATAACGCATCTCTTCAACGTATTGCATTGGAAAAAAGAAAAAAAGCAAGAAAAATCACGCCGATTAAATTATCACTTCGAATATGAAAGTAAATTAAAAAACCAAACTTAATTTTAAATTTGATATACATTTATATTAGGATTAAATAAGTACCCAAGGAGCGCCAATGCGCGTATAATGCGCTTTGAATGTACATTAAACTTTGCATTAAATGCGGATATTTGTCCCGCATTATATGCGCATTTAATGCATATTATGGAAGCGCATACCAAAAAGTGCACCTACGCTCATTGATCAAGGAGCCCAATCGAACAGCTAGTGAACTCTGTACTATATAGGAATTTTTCTTCGTGCCCAGCTTTTAAGCATTGCTGTGAGCACATTCCAGTACAGCTATCACAGAAGAAAAAAACATTCTTATTTAAAGAATATCTTTATTTTTGACATGATAAATGTCATTTATTTAAAATTCCATTTATTTAAAATTTAAAACTTAAATAAAATGTCCCATAATGAGTCAGAAGCTACTCATTTAAATATTTTATAAAACCTGTCATTTATAAATTGAATGCTCAATTTACATTAATTACGCATTTGAATGCGCGCATTTTGAACACACAATTAATGTGGTTTTGAAGCCAATGCAATTGTACGCGCGTTAAAAGCACGTTATACGCGCATTGGCGCTCCTTGGGTAAAAGATTGTAGATGAAGAAGTCCTATAGTTGCAAGCTTTTTAGCATCTCCCACACGTTGCTCTCTATTTTCAGAGACCCTCCACTCCATGGAAACCCATACTGGGAAGCTTGCCGGTTTGGGCACTACTCATAGTGCAGTGCGCGCAATCCTGGGGATTCTGGATGCTGCTGACGGAAATTCCATCCTACATGACTTCGATCATGCGTTTCGATATCACGAAGGTAAGTAATTTCGAATAATCCCGTAAATAACTTCGAGTAGAATTTAAGCCTTTATTTTTCTTTCCGTTATTACGTTTTTACGAGATTTGGTAAACATTGGAAGTCGCCTTCGAATTAAATCGCACACGTGTTTCGACTTCGAAAATTGTGCGCGCCGTGTTTGGAATATTGATTAATAATTCGATGCGTATGTCGTTGAGGTCATGATTAATATGCTACGTGAAGCTTAGATCGATTCGAGTCTCTGAATCATCATGGACAACGTGAACATTAGATCACTCCAATGTCATATTGTCAATGAACCAGTCAATGACGGCCGAAAACAAATCAATGAAACGTTGAAAATTTCTCTTAAATTTTAATAAATACATTTTTCAATGCAAGCTTGATTCTTAATCCTTATTAATACGAGCGTTTAAATGTTAATGTTTATTTCTACCAATGTGGATTAACTTTAATCTAACATTAACTTTAACTTACTTTTTATCTTCTTCTAATTCTTAGAACTGGAAAAAGATAAAAAGTAAGTTAAACTGACAATAAGATTAAAGTTAATTTGCATCGATACAAATGGACATAAGTAAGATATCACTTTAAAATCAAATTTAATATAAGTAAATTAGTTCATATTTTAATCAATATAAAATATAAACATTTTATAGTAAAATCTAATTAAATTTCTATTAAAGCAACAAATACTATCAACTAATAAATAAACTACTATTCCTTTTTAATTGCAGAACGGTATGATGACGGCGTTGCCCTATCTGTCGGCATGGATCGTCGGCTTTCCGATCAGCAACATATCCGATCTGTGCATCAGGCGGAACATCGTGACGACGGAAATGTCCCGGAAGATTTGCAATACAATCGGACACTGGATACCGGCGGCCGCGCTAGTTGGGCTGGGTTACGTGAGGCAGGACCAGCCGGAATTGGCCGTGGGCATTCTCGTCATTGCCGTATCCTGCAATATCGCCGCTTTCTGCGGTCACAACATCAATCACATGGACCTCAGCCCGAACTTCGCCGGCCCGCTCATGGGATTCACGAATACCGTCGCGTCTGTATGCGGCATCCTCGCGCCGCTGATCGCCGGGGTGATCGTCCAGGATGCGGTTCGTAACACTCCACTTTTGCGTTTCCGCTCTTACAATTATGAGATAATTATTTGCATCCTTTGTTGCCATGAATTCGATTGTTTCATCATTTCTCTCTTCGGATTTTTAGACCAATATATTGCAATGGCGAAGCGTGTTCTTCCTATCGGCTGGAATATACACTGTGGGCAATCTAGTCTTCATTCTACTCGGCACCAGCAAGGTACAAAAGTGGAATGATCAAGTTGGAAACAAGCGGGATAGCGTCGTGCGGAAAATATCGATGGCACCGGTAACCATCGCGACAATACAGGAAAAAGACGTTGAGAGAACTCCATGACAATCAAAAAAATAGAGAAACGTTGTGCGATATTATTTGTTGCCTTTTTTTATATTTTATTTTTCGAATTATGTGTTTATCTGTGTGGATGTGTGACTTGCGTGGTAACTTCTGAATGACTTAGAATATTAATATTATTTCGAAAGCGTATACAAAATACGTATTAAAACGCTTAGACTAGAAATTGCGTGTAAATATCGCTCGAAAATGTATAAAATTCAAGCCGAATGATATATAGGACGTACCGGAATCCATTTCTTTTTAATTTACCCTCGACAATACCAGCGGAGAAATCAATCCCATCTTATAATTTTACTTCTCGATTCTGCGGTCGCGGAAATATCGCAATTCGCGTTAAAGAGCTTAGAATTTAGCTTAATATAAATAAATTCGCATTTTATGTAATAAAAAACGTTTTGTCTTATTTAAATAGAAAAACTGCTTAACGTGTCTTAGGTGTCTTCTTAATCGTACGCCTAGTACAAGAAGAATTGATATCAAATCTGTCTAATTGTAAGATATTCATTAATAAAAATTTGATAATCGTACAAAACTGCATGTATATTTAAATCTCAGTCTTCTTTTGGATGACTTTGGCCCGCGTTGCTCCAAATGGCGTGGCCGATGAATATCGCGCCGATAATAGTCGTCAGTAACGTGGCGCAAGTGACAAAGAGCGATAGAGACAAGTCACCGACCGGTATCGGCCAAACGTACTCGCGATTCTGCGACATACGATATGGAATTTCACGCCATTTGGTCATTAGACTGACGCACGGTTCACACAAGTCTATCTTGGACACTCGGTGGTCTCTGACCCTCTCCCGGCATCCCAGCAGCAGTTTCGGCTCCAGCAAAGTCACGTTGATGTAACCGCCAGTCTCGTGCGCATATCGGTATCGTTGGTGAACAGGAATTGTTAAACTGGAGAACGACGAGCTTATGGATGCGCAAGTCGTCACATTCTGCCGACCAGCTTTCTCTGCAAATAACTCGACGTCGGTCTCACCAACGGAACATACCATATTCTGCAATATTAACAATTAACATTAACTAATTGGGTGAATAATCATCTCTCAAGTAGTAATATACAGTAGATCCCCATATAACACAAATTCGTAAAAATTTTTGACAGAAAAATTTTAATATTTGTTTGTTTTAAAGTAAAATACCTAAGGAATATTTTACTGTTACATCTTTAATATTCATTTTTCATTTTTTATAATAAACTCTTCTCTCTAAAAGTCGAAGAGTGAAATATCACTCCAAATGAGTAAAATGCAAGTGTAACGAAAAGTGAAAATTGAGCCACTTCGAGTGATTCGTCACTCTAACAATAAGAGTAAAATTGTGTTCTATAAGCTGAAGCGAAATCTCACTCCATTTGAGTAAAAAGGCACTCTTTTCGAGTGCAGTAGATCAGTGTCCATAGAAGTGAATTATATGGCTGCGTTTCGATATTCATTGCCAGTACTGAAAATCTACAGTTTACATGACGTAAACTACAGATTTTCAGTACTGATAGTGAATATCGAAACGCAGCCTATGTTATCCTACAAATTTCAGTAGAAAATTTCACTCTAGAGTTTATCAGTCATTTATCAGTCAATCTGTTAGAGTTTATCAGTCATTTATCATTCAATCTTTAGTAAATCGTGATTTAGAGAGAGATCGTATCACTTCAATAGAATAGCCGCTCTAAAAATTTGAGTGAAAAATTCACTCCTATCTTACGAGTGCCTGCATTTACTTAAATTGGAATGACAACCCTCTCGTTTGGAGTGACTATCGCAAGTCCAATATATTAGTGGCAAACTACTCTATGAGATTTAGAGAGTTACATCTTTTATAAATATATATGTATTTCCGTATACATACATAATCCATATATTTATAATCTATGTGACTCGTATAACATAGATTCATATAGCACAGGGACATATCCTCTGTATCATATGAAGGTCTACTGTATCTATATTATGTGTATAATAAAGTAGATGTAATCTAATATAGATACAATGATAGATATATATTATTGATATCAAGTAGATCTTTTTTAGATAAATGTAGTTCTTATTTTCTATATAAATTACTTGAATATTGTTAAACGTTAAGATGTACAAATACAGAATATCGAATCAATGTAAATGATAGATAGCTTCAAGATGTGCAGTAATTAGAAAATAATTAGTAACGTTATTTAATTTTATACTGGATATAATAAAGTTCATTTTACGAATTGACTAATGCAGCAATTTTGGATGTATAAAATGTAGAAATACAATAAATTTGTAAGATTTTAAGATTTCGGTATAGTTAAGCGGCCTGACTGGCAAGTTTTATTAAGTATATCACAACGACGTTTCGACCACTAATTTGGGTCCTTTTCAAGTTATTTTAACAATGATGGATCATTGTGCGTCAATTATATAAAATTCGTGGCGGGTCGGAAAAATACGACGGTCTCATGTGAAGGCCGAAAAACTAATGTTTAATAACTATACCGAATTATTATTTCATCTACTGGCGAATAATTTTTATTGAATTTTAAGATTTATTTTAAGATTATGTTATTTTCTCTGAGCCACATTAATTAATTAACAATTAAAGGGTATACCGTTCCTCGTCTTCTCATTTCTGCTATTTCGTCCGTATTGACGTACAACGCCGACGGTAATTCCATGTAAATGGCAACTCGACAGCCATCCTGTGTAAGATTCTCGAAGTGTATGCGATAGATCAACGTTCTGCAAAAGGAAGAGAGATGTTTTCAGAACCGTACGTGGACCACTTGTTGTTTACACAACAATCGACATTTCTAACCTATGAAACCCGCTTCCTTCCACGTTGAGATCGACCTCGGCCCCGATTCCCGCATAAATCTGCACGCATCGCGTGCACAGGAGCAACGCGACGACAATTCGCGAAAGATTCGCTTCGCAGATGACGTGCGCTGTCATATCTGCACGCCGGGATCACCGCATACCTTTAACGTTTTGACGTTAAACATACGCGAAACTCACCGGCCGCCGGCCGCCATTGCTGATCGTTGCCCTGTCGCGAACAGTCGCGAATTATGTTTTTTGTTGAGAAATTAACGTCAATCGATAAAGTACGAACTACTTTACTGACATTAGATAAATACCTTCCCTAGAATTAATCAATCTTTTCCAGATTACCGAGAAATTATAACACTAATAATAAAATAAAATAAATGTACTGTTGTATTAGAAAAATTTACGAAACTTACGATTTCAGTAATTTCAAGAATTTCAAGTCCAAGACTTCCAACTGTGAAAAATTGATATACTGACAAAGTGTAGGTATTACAATGTCAAAAGCTCTAATTATTGAATGTAAATTCTGTTTCGTTATATGTTATTCTTCTTCGTTTTTAGCAGACAAGTCCATTTGTCGATCCATTCAAGATCTATCGATCATGATTTCAAGTTTCAACTGTTTCAAGATCTATTTTAATTAGACGTCGTGCATTGTGCATAGGGCTGCATAGAGCACGATGTGAATCCTCCCTTAGCTCAGCGTGTTGTTGAAGCTTGAAGCTTGAAGCGTCGTTTTTCCGTCGTCCGGATCGGACACGTTGGTTATTGCGTGAATAAATTATTATTAGTGTCGCGGTGCCGATAATGACGCGCTCGATCAACGTGACGAGTGGCGCGACGGGAGGACGATGATCTCGGCGTCGCGTCGATGTCGATCGCAATTGGAGTAGTGCATGGTAGTGCAGAGTAGTGAACGCCTCAAACGCCTGTGCCCTGATCTAGAGGCACCGGAGCAAGGATCAGGTTAGATTCAGGGTGGTTTGCCGCTACGCGCCCGCAGAACAGAATCATGTCGTTTCGTTTGGACAGGAGAAAGGCAGAAACCGACAGGGTGAGTTGAGTGTATGCATACACTGGCATACGCATCCTGGACTGATAAGATAAATATTGTATATTGTATGTGTGCGGAAATTGGGACAAACTTTTGGAGGCCATTGTTTTTGGAGGGCCCATTCAGAAAAACGGCTTTACAGGTATTCGTTACATAGTATCTTCTACAACTCCTGCAAGTTTTATCAAAATTGGTGGAGAATAGCGTGTAGTGTACTAATGTTAGTATGTTTTAGGCTGTGTTCCAGAATTTACTGCCAAGCGTTGAAAATCTATAGTATACGTTACGTTTTCAGCGTTGGCAGTGAATCGAACGAGCTCCGAATCAAGGTCTCATTACGATAAATTTGAGTTAATAACAATACAAAGTCTTTACTTGCATCCGTACATCTGCATTCTTGACACTCGGTCTGTTCGCCAGAAGTTTCACCCAATAACGAGTTGATAATTCTAAGTCTCTGATAAGAGGTCAAAAACTTTAATCCTGATTCTTGAGTGGTTTTGGAGTCAAGTACGCGATTGTGATTTTACAGGCGAGCAACATGGACATCACATCAGACTTTGATCGTCTCAAGGTATCCGTATTAGAGAAGGCGTCGCGTATATCAGCAACCACGAAGGTGGATCGCATTACGATCGGGCCCCAATCGGCATTGTACGATGAAGATTCTGACAAGGCGAATAATACTGAAAACGATCAAAATTCTTGTAACATTAAAAGTCTGCAGAGAATTGTTACCACTCCCAAGCACAACATGGTTTCCACTCCAAATGGTATTTGTTTCTCGATCAATAAGATTCTGCTGGAGAGCGAGTTGCAGAGGAAAGAACAAGTCTGGGTATTTAATTTTGATTATCATAAAGTCATTTATATATACAGAGTGTCTGGTTACCGTGCCACTTAGTGAGCAGGTAAAGTGGATTAAACTGAATGGAAAAGTCTTGTACTTGTTTTGCAAGTCTATTAATAATTAACAAGATATTAATTAATAAAGATTTGCGAATAAGCGTACGTTCACGTGATTCAGTGACAAGAGAGTCCAGTGTTACGCATTATTTGTTGTTGATAGACGCGTGCTCCTCCCAAAGCCTTGCCGCTCGTGGAGCAACCGGCAACCGTTGTATGACGTTGGGCTGTCTTTTTTTATCTTTATTAATTAATTAATTAATTTTTCATTGATTACTAAGGAACTCGCAAAACAGTAAAGGACTGTTCTATTCAGTTTAACTTGCTCTACCTACATATGAGAGATGACACTGTAATTACCAGACATCCTGTGTGTATATATATACATATAATAGATATAGCTATTAAAAAATATATTAACATTATTAAGTGTTTAATTTAGCATACGTAGTTTTCACATAATCTTATTACTGAATGGACATGAAAATGTGAGTTCAAGTAATAGATTTGATATAAGTGGAATTTCGGTTAAGTTATTAGCGTAGATTGTAAAATTGATTGAATAGATTTTACAGAGATGAGACGAATATATAATTCTAATGAAATTTTATTGAAGATGATATTAAATATGTAATTAACACAACAGCTATATTAACTAGCGTCACTTTCTATCGTTATTTCTTCAAATGTATTGCAGAAAGAAATAGAGCGTCATTTTGAGCATATGAAGCAGAATGATCGCGCCATCGAAAAGCAAATGGCTAACTCGCGCACGTTGATGGCACGTGAACGTGTACGCCTGAATGAGGAGAAGGTGGCGTTTCTCCAGGCTGAAGAGGAGCGAATCGCGGAGCAAGAAAAAATCAAGAAGCGACACGAGCAGCAATTGCAAGCACAGCGCGAACAAGAACAAGAGGAAAGGCAAAAGCTGGAGGAATGTCAAAGAATAATGAAAGAAAAGGAAGAACTGACGAAAGCCGTGCTAGTCCATCGGGATCAGTTTACGGTCAGGTACCACGATCTCGTGGCATTATCCAAGACCTGCAAGGACCAGCAAGCATTCAGTGTGATGTTCATGGCACATGACGCCACGATAAGAGATTTGATCCAACGAATCAAAGCTTTAGACGAGAAACTCAAAGTAATTATCAAAAAGAAAAGAAAAACTGTTTGCAAAAGAATGTAAATTAATTTTTAAGGTATTTTTGTTAAATGTCAAGTCGCATTTATTAATTGAAAAGAGATAATTGTGAATTTTTAGAAGTTATTTTCAGAACATGTTGCAGTTTGTTACATAACACTTGCTTAATAATTTATATTTTATTTTCTAGAACGGAGAATTGGTAGCTACAGATGTAAATATTATCGAGGCTGTGGTTTATCACTTCGACGATGTATTGAATATATTTCGTGCGGAAACAGGTTTGTGCATATTTTTGCAGACATTTTTTTGCCTCAATATAAACTTATATTGAATATGAATACATATAAACATATTTGTTGCAAACTGTAGAAAAAATAAACGCTCAATACGAAGCGGAACTGGCTCGCAAAGCACAAGTTGCAAACGAGATACAGCCGGTCGAAGAGACAGACAATGTTCCAGTTAATGATGTAATGCTTCCTCAACAACCAGACGGGAGCGGTGCTGTGGAAAACAAAGAAGACCAAAATTCCGGTGCGGTAACGAATCAAGAAATAGAAGCCACGCCGATTAACGAACCAGTTGCACCGGCCATATATGATCCTACATTGGAAGAAGCGGCTAAAGAGTCCGCATGCAAAAAAGGTGCATTAAGATCTCTAAAATTTAGCACATAGAATGCATTTTAAATGCTTGTTAGTGTTTAATTACGTATATATATATTTGTTATATTTTATTCCATTTTATATTGCCCAGTTTATACTCATATATTGAAGGATAAATCAATTAAATGTAATGTAATTTCATTTTCTGTTTATCTAAATTTAGATTTCTATCTGAGTAAATTAATTTAATGCGTTTGTGATATTGTAAATTTGTAGGAGATGTCTTCGAGTACGTCGACCAGGAATCATTGCAGATTTACGTCAGAAGTCAACAATTCTTGGAGCTCTACAGAGAAACTTGCAAGGACTTTCTACAATCGGCTGCTACAAAGAAATTCCGTTTCGAGTGCCAAAAGGCGATCAATATCCCTGTAAATGCAATTTCTGGCGTAAGCGAGCAACACTTGAGAGACAAATATGACAGGCTGCAGAATCTTTTGATCGGAAAATTGCCTCCCAACGTAACGCAACATCCACAAGGAGTGATTTTCTGCAAGAATCATCTGGCGAAAAAGATAGTCGTACGTATCTACATGTTTTGCTAAAATTCATCATTATAGGTGTTTTCAATTACACATACACGTGTTGATCATGGTCAATCTGTTTTTTTTTTTCCAATCAGAAGCAAAAAGAAAATCTATTTAATAAAAATTAAATTATGTGAATTATGTAAAAGTTAATATAAATTGTAAGTAAATTATTTTTGCTTTTACAATTAGATTAAATGTATTCTGTTTATTCTTGTTTTAAAATAAATGTTCAATCAATGTTCTATGAATCCTTAGAGCCAAGGAGAGACGTTGGTATCTAGTAAGCCGGAAATGGCATTCCCTGTGGCAATGATTGTCATAGCTCTCTGGAACGAGCATCCAGACTTTGGCGAACTATTCCTGGCGCATCTTCACGAGGCGTGTCCGTTCACCGTACCAGTTTTCTTGCAGCAGCAAGAAGGCCAATCCAATGAGGATTATTATAAATCTCTTGGCTGTAAATATTCTGAAGACGGTACTGTCGAGAAGCAGGACAAATTCTTAAAAAGAATGTCGGGATTAATGAGATTGTATGCATCGATCATCGTTACAAGACAGCAGAAGGGTGTCACCAAGCCTCATCCCCATGGTCTTCGACACGCCTGGAGATGGTTGGCGGTTGTTTTAAATATCGGTAAAAAAATATATATTATATAAATATAAAAATATAAAAGAAGTATATACGTAAAACAAAAAGTAAAAAAATCTTAATATTATGCAATAAAATCTTGTAATATGTTACAAAAGGTATTAAAATAAAATATGGCGCTTACCAATAGAATAGAAAATCTTTACAATATCCAAAACTATAAGTTAAGTGTCATATACGAAAAAAATTTGTATTTTTAATTTTCAGAACCACGAGCCGATATTTGTGATTTATGCGCGACTTTGATACTGGATATGCTCGAGGTTGCCGGTAACGTGCTGTGGGGTGCATATCCAAAGCAGTTTTATAAATTGCTGGTGCTACTAATGGAGCAATATTATCCGTGTATGCGAAATGTCGCAGGTGGTGGCGGGCCTTTAGTACGGTTGGAAGAGTTTCTGAACAATACCCTAAAAAGTGGGTACACCATACGTGGGTGCACCATAAGTGGGTACACCATACGTCTCGCCAATGGAATGCTTCCACCTAACTTTTTGTGATCTTCCGTCAGATCACGTAGTGACTTAAACGTAGATTAAAGTATTTATTACGAGTCTAAAAATGAGTTAAGTAACATATTTGAATAGTTTTGAACATGTATGACGAAAATTTTAAATTGTTTTGAGCGTTACTTGTTGAAGCAAGGTGTGGTGTGGAAGCAAGGTATTTACACGTCTTGAGAAAAGAATCCCAGGTAGCAGCACTCGTCATTTTGACGTCAAAAGTCTGTCATTTTGACGTCTTTTGACGTCAATTGACGTCAAAATGACGAGTGCTTGCTACCTGGGATGTGAAATGATGTGTTTCAAGAAAAACTGTTCAAATTTCGGGAATCTAAGTTGAAAATCTAAAATTCAAAAATCACGGAACATTAATATTTTTCTAAAAGTCATGAGAGAAGTTTGAAAAATTCCGTGTATTTGTTAAGTTCCGTATATTTGTTAAAATTCGTTATCAAATATATTGAGATTTATAAGAAATCCTAACTGTAAGTAACGAATCGAAACGATTCTAAATTCTGCTTGTAAACAAAATTACTCGAAGAGTGCGAAAAAAGAGAAGATCAAGTGCCCACTCGGAATTCAAGTCTCATCGAATTGTTATTATTATTTATACTGTATATTCTTCTAGTTTAATTGTACGATTTACAAAGTGGATTTTGATAATAATTTTGTGCGCTATGTGTACGGAGCGAATCAATTTGGAATAAGTCGCAATGCATGTGTTGTCGCGGAAGAGGAAGAAATCAAACGAGAGAGAGAGCGAGAGAGAGAGGAGAGAATGAGTGGGAGAAAGAATCTTTTTTTAACGAATCATATAGATCGAGGATAAATTTGCGAATTATTGTATTTATTTAGATTTAATAAAGAATAATGTTAAATTGAAACAAATAGAACATGTAATATATGTATAAAATGATAAAAGAAGTAGATTAAAAAAAGCGTAAAAAATTTTTAGTAGTAAGGCATATTAGTGGGTATGAACTTGTTCTTCAGAGCGTAGTTATTCTCCGAGTTCTTGGCAAAACCAATGACACCATAGGGTAACACTCTAAGCAGCATTTCATCGTACTTATTTACGTTCATCAGATAGGTTATAAGTGGTTTGTTCAGTGTGTCCGCTGAATAAAATGCAAATAAAGTAAGTATTAAAAAAGAGAAATGAAATAAAGAAAAATTAGAAGAATTTATCTTGTTGATATTTTCTTCTTTGCTTCATTCTTTCCGATTTTAACGTTAAAAGGAGCTTTTATTTTTATCTTAGCGTTTATCGTATCTTTATTTTGTTTATAGATTTTTAAAATATTCATTTCAACTCTCGAAGTTTAGTTTCTTTTTTATGATTTATCATTTCTGTATTTTTTTTTTACTAGCTGTGAAAGCAATAGATCGCTCCACGAAATCCTTCTAACGTTAATCTTTAAAAAAAATATATTCTAACATGGCTCTAAGAATATACCTAGCGATTTTTTGACCATGATGCGGTAGGGCGGCAAAGGTCCCAAAGAGTCGAGGATATGAAGAGAATTCACATTGAATATGCTGTCCTTTCGGCTTGTAATCACCGGTGATTCTACAATTCCTACTTCCGCCCGATTGTTCAAGATCATTTCCAATACATCCAACTGCGAGGTAGCATCTAATAATTGGAAAGATAAAAAACTTTTTAAGTATCTACTATCTAAAACTATTTAAACTCATCGATAAAATCCAAGGTAAAGCAATATTATTTAACATTTTCGCTCAACAATATTTTTTTTACTATTGTCACTTCTTTAATTTAGACATTTTTTTTCTTTATATTTCTGCTGCAGCCACAGTGAGAATCTTAATGAAAACAGACGTACAACTAATAGATGTATAATTAATAATCATATAGATAAAACATTTTAAACTGACCGAATAAATTGCCAAAGAATAACATGTTTTCGCCTTTCTGGTGCAAATCTTTAAAAAGCAATCCGGCGGCGGTGTGTTCGCTTCGTCTATCCGGAATGGCACACCTACGTCCTCGCAAATCCATGATAGTCTGCGGTTAATGGATGATTGCCAATTATGTGAAAATCATATTCGACAGAACTTAGATCTTATAATTATTATCAATTAAATGCGAATCAATTAATATATATAATTATATATAATTGAATATATTAATTATAGACTAGAAGAAACAAGAAAAATTATTAAGGATGTTAAATTTATTTACTTGAATTTTCTGCGTATCCATCAATTCCTTTGTGATGATCATATCGGCGTACACGCTGGCCGACTTGTCCTTATTAAGAGGATGATCGAAAACGAAGCTTAAGGGAAAGAGCACGCCGTCCTGCCAGGTTTGGTTCGCTGGCGTGATAACTGCGAAAATAAATAAATTAAAAGATAATATTTCTATATTTTTTAGTTTTATTTTACATTTGCTAACGGGATGATGTATTGTTTTCTCCGTCGTGAGTGTCAAGCAACGGCAAATTTTGCAAACTTTTCATCTGCCTTGAAATTATTATAACGAAACAAACAAAGGTGTTCAAAGATATTTAAGAAATAGGTCTTGAAGGAAAATAATATCAAATTGACCTTCAGATGTCTATATGGAAATTCTTTGTTCGTTTCTATTCTAGGATGGTGAAATTTTTCACGGAGTAATCGATTTAGACGTACGTATGTCAATGTCCCCGATGATGGGCCGGTTTACTCTGTTCTCGTACATTAAGACAACCGGCCTACCCGTGACAGCTTCGATCATTTCTCCAAACACCTCGAAAAGCTCCATCGGCAGTGAGGGCATCATATGATACGTTGCCAGGACCAAAGGACGTTTCTTGAAATCCGGCGCTGATATGGGCGGCCACGATTTTTCTTTAATCCTTTCTCGAATGGCTTTTCTCTTCATTAAACATTCAAGATCTTAATTAACTTCTACCGTACTTTAATTTAATTTGTAAATAAAATTTGTTTGAGAAGTTTAATTTAATTTATCCTCGTAAGGAAAATTGAAGTTTATCGGAATATATACGGATAAAAATGTTACAAAATTATATAGAGGATAAGTTACATTAGCCATTATTGGCTCATGACTTCACCTTCATTTTTTTGTCATTTTGGACCCATCATAAATTTACTAACTTTCAATTAAAAGAGAAATTATTTTTTGTCCTCAATATTTCTTGATTTTATTTCTATAACGTAATATAGTTTATTTCTAAAATTTGAATTTAAAAAAGTGGTAAATATTTCTTACAATTTTATTTTCAAAAAACTGTATTGTAGATATTGTAGCATACGTGAGTCAATTTGGCTTCAGCGTGAAGTCAGTTTCAACAATGGCTGTGTTTCAAAATTCATTGCCAGCGCTGAAACTTCATAGCATACGTTACTTCCAGTGCTAGCAGTGAATTTTGGAACACAGCCAACTTATGGGTGCGTTTCACTCGGCAACACTCGTGAGCATCATTTGTCCTTGTTTAACATTTGACAAACAATAAAGATGAAATGATTCTAAGAGCATTACGAGTGCCAAGTGAAATGTACCCTATGACGGTTAAATTCACAACGATTTATGGTGATTTTATTTCCTCAAAAGAAATTCAAAAACATGCTTTGTTTTATCGTGACAATCGCTCAAAGTACTAAAAAATTTCGATTTATTGACTTTATGCCTATGGGATTAGTTCTTTGAATTTATTTAGGTTCAGAGCTGATTTTTTATATCTAAATTTATATATTTTAGGAATCTAGAGTTTTAACAAGTCAATTATATTTTTGCATATAAACTATTTTGAAACCTAACTTTAAATTTTTATTTATTTTTTCGTCATTTATTCCAATTCATTTAATCACGTCTTCAATAGCATAGTTTAAAAAGGAAAACTTACACATGCTTCGTCCAGCTGATACGTTCTATGTCCCACTTTTACTATGTCCACGCCGTCTATTTTGTCCACGCCGTCTACTTTGTCCACGCCGTCTACTTTGTCCTCATCTGCTTTGCCCTCATCTGCTTTGCCCTTATCTGCTTTGCCCTCATCTGCTTTGCCCTCGTCAGATGAATCCGTTTCCTCAGAAGAACTGTCAAGCATTTTCAAAGGGTTATCCCGCATTAAATCGTCATCAGAGTCAGAAGAGTTGGCCATTTGAGCGCTAAAATATCTGAACGTTCGGCATTTTGGACTTTCACGCTCCTCGGTTTGAGTATTAGGAAGTCTTAGGCAGATATTCCCTTCCCGATGTTCTGGCGTATCTTTATCATCTTTAGATTTATCGGAGGTGGAGATTTGGCATTTCTCTGGAATTTTTGGTGCTTCAGGAGCATCAAGTTTAATAGAGGTGGACTTGTCGGATGTAGTCTTGTATAGTTTCTCAGTATCAGGATATGGCAAATCGGTGAGTTGAGTCGTCACCTCTTTAATCATTTCATCTTCAGAGCTTTCAGATTTGTTGGAAGTAGAGGTTTTCATCTCATGCGCTTCCGTTACTTTCTCCGCCGTCTTCTTCATAGATTCCATCGGTTCCTTGCTTGGAGTTTGCTCCTTCTTCTGCAAACAATGTTCCTTCGATTCATATGCGGTCTCCTTCAACACTGGAAAAAAAAAACAGGCTTGGTTAATGTTATCAAGAACCTTGGTGAAATAGCTTCAACTAAACGTATAGGTGAGTGCAACGAAATAATTTGGTAAATTTTAATAAATAATTCTAGCAAAACATAATATGATTTAGTTAATATTAGCAAAGTTTGATAATTATTACCAAGTAATGATGAATGTAATCAAATTGCTTACTAAGTAATTGAGTAAAATTGCCAGCAAACCAATCAGATAAGGCTTTTTAAGACAATAGTACTAATTATCAAATTATTAGTTAATTATCACTAAACTAGAGTAATTTTCATGAAATTGTTTGATAATAAGTACTACATATAATTTAGTTGGCTCAACTAAACGCAAAATTTGATTTTTTTTAAATGTCTATCGTTATAACTATTACGAAATGTTTTTTTATTATCATTAAAATTGGTAATAATAATCAAATATAAAAAAAAACTCTTACTAAATGCATCTCACGAATTTACCAAGAATTTTTTTTTAGTACATTTTACTTCCATCGATTCTTCAGCCTCCTTCAATTTTTCGGCTTCCTTCAATTCTTCGGCTTTCTTCAATTTTTCGGCCTCCTTTAATTTTTCGGCTTCCTTTATTTCTTCGGCTTCCTTCAATTTTTCGGCTTCTTTCGATTTTTCGGCTTCCTTCGATTTTTCGACCTCCTTTAATTTTTCGGCCTCCTTTAATTTTTCAGCTTCCTTCGATTTTTCGACCTCCTTTAATTTTTCGGCCTCCTTTAATTTTTCGGCTTCCTTCAATTCTTCGGCTTCCTTCAATTCTTCGGCTTCCT